TTAACATAGTAATATTTCAAGTATATGTTCACTCTGTATTAATGTTTTAGATCTCTCTACTGTATCTTGCAGCCTAAATTCTCTAATGTAGAGGTGATGTCTGGGGGGAAGCAGATTCCCTGTGCACTGAGAGAGGGTCTCTCAAGGGTCCCACTTCCTTCAGATGTTCATGTCCTACTACCTTGTCCGCAGCTTTCTAGCCCAGAAATAGCCTGTTTCCTAAACATGCCATCATTTATATGTTGACTATTATTAACCATGTTCACTTGACACCAGAATAATATTTTTTATATTTTGTGATTCAAAATGTAATACTGTTGACCCTTGAACAACACAGGCATGAACTGTGTGAGTTTGCTTATACCGGATTTTTTTCAGTAACAACAGAACAGCACTACAAACATATTTCCTTTTTGAAGTGAAAGACCTGTACTCTGAAAACTATAAAACACTGATGAAAGAAATTAAAGACGACACAAACAAATGGAAAGATATCCCATGCTCATGGATTGGAAGAATTAATATTGCTAAATGTCCATATTACCCAAAGCAATCTATAGATTGAATGCAGTCCCTACCAAAATACCAACAGCATTTTCATAAAACTAAAACAAATAATACTAAAATTTGTATGGAACCACAAAAAAACCCAAAAAGCAATCTTGAGAATGAAGAACAAAGCAGGAGGTATCACAATTCCAGATTTCAAACGATACTACCAAGCTGTAGTAATCAAAACAGTATGTTACTGGCACAAAAACAGACACATAGATCAATGGAATGGGACAGAGCCCAGAAATAAACCACACCTACATGGTCAATTAATCTATAACAAAGGAGCAAGAATATATAATGGGGAAAGCCTTCAAAAAATGGTGCTGGGAAAGCTGGACAGCTACATGCAAAAAAAAAAAAAGACTGGCCCACTTTCTAACACCATACACACGAAAAGAAATTCAAAATGGATTAAAGACCTAAATGTGAGACCTGAAATCCTTATGATTTTCTTAATAACATTTTTTCTAGCTTATTTAATTATAAGAACAGAGTATTAAGACATATAGCATACAAATGTGTGTTAATCAACTGTTTATGTTCTTGGTAAGGCTTCTGATCAACAGTAGGTTATTAGTAAAGTTTTGGGGGAGTCAAAAGTGATACATGGATTTTCCAGTGCATGGGGGGTTGGCGCTCCTAACGTCTATGTTGTTCAAGGGTTAACTATAGTCACATAGAGCAGACTCACATCCTTAGAGTAGCACAGAACTTCTTACAGGTAAATCTATTTGGGAAATTAGTGCAATGGGCTCAGGCATGATTCACATTTTTAAGAGCATCAGGATATGACAGCCCTCTTCTCATAAAGACACAATGCACTGAGGACCACAATATGCAAGGAAGCTCCTTCCTTGGGCGGTGATGCCCATGCATAGACACCTGGTTTTTCTAGCTTTTTTTCTGGTCATCTCCAGTTAGGCTGACACCTTGGGCCAGGGGTGGAAACAGGATTTGGTAGGTGTTTTCCTTCTTATTCACCTTTGTAAATACGGTTTGCCTTTCTCATCCCAAATGGGAAACTTCATTAGGTCTTACATGGTGATTTTAAGGCCTATTGCTTAGTGTCTGGGAGGTTTCCTGCTGGCATCTCTCTTGTAGCATCTACAGAGTGCCATTTACCTGATAGCTTGTGTTACTGTCAGGGTAATGATTTCAATATGTTTACTGCCCAGCAGATAAAAGAGAAATATGCCTTTCACTATGCCTTTACAACTTTAAAAACTAATGTTTGGTTGGAGAGCTCAGAAATTAAATTAACAAGGGCACTTCCAGTGGATCTGAACCCTTTACAGATTTGATCACCAGATTCTTAAAAACTTAGCAGTGCTGTATTAAAGAATCTCTACAAATCCACTTTTAAATCCAAAGTAGAAAGCTATTCGTAATGAATCAACCAGTGAACCAAAAAGAGAGAGTGAGACTTAGGTTCTGATTCGATTTGGTAAGTCATGCACTGCTCATTACGTAAGAGACGTGACAGTGGGAAGTAGGTGGGCCTGGGGGATGGGGTCAGAGGTTCACAATGGGGGTGGCAAAATATTTTATTCAAAAGAGCCCAAGAAAGGAAGAATTCATTGGAAATCACAATGGCCTAATATATAAGACCACCTCACTTCCAGTATAGTTCCAGAATTCCTTTTTAAAGGCTGATCTCCGAAGACCATTAAACTAAATCCTTCCTTTAATTTCAACTGTCTGAGCTAGGTGTGCCAAGGCTGTTATGGACGAATGATGTGTCCCTCCCCATTTTCATATGCTGAGGCCCTGACCACAGTGTGATGATACCTGGAGATGGAGCTTTAGGGAGGTAATTCAGTTTAGATGAGGTCATGAAGGTGGAGCCCCCATAGTTAGCATCCTAATAAGAAGCAGAGGGGAGACAAGAGCTCTTTCTCTCCAGATACACACTCAGAGGAAAGGCTGCTGAGTACCCTCTGAGAAGAGAAGCTGGCCATCTACAAGGCAGGGAGAGGGTCCTCACTAAGAACTGAATCTATGAGAATCATGCAGGATTTCCAGGCTCTGCAACCATGAACAAAAAATGTCTATCATTTGAGGCACCCAGTCTTTGGTATTCTGTCATAGCCTGAGTTTACACAAAGGCAAAAATACAACTTTAAGATCTGGATTGCGGTCAAGGTCAAAACTAAACCAATGCATTGTACTCTGGAGGCTCTGAGTGGCCCAAGAGAGTTCACTCCTAGAGATGCTGGGTAGGCAGTGCTAAGGTGAAAGAGAGGAAAATCAGAGCACATATGAGCAGACCTACCTTCTGATCTTGCCTAGAAGTTTGTCCCACTGCCTCCATCCAGCAGATGCCTGGGGGCGAAGGCAGAACCTAATGCAGGTGCCAGGGGGACAGTGGGAACATCACACACCTACGCCGTCTCTACTTTGGGAAGGTCTTCTCCAAAAGAAGTTTCTAAAAACACTCAGCCTCTTAACTTAGTCCAGCATATGAAAGTCTTTGGAAGCCTAGCTTAACCAAACCCACTTCCCCTGCTTCCATTTTAGTACTATGGATGGAGAAATTTTGTCCCAGAGGCCATATTTTTTTAAATTATACCACTGATTGCTAATATAGTTATAAAAAAGGTTATTTATTAAATAGGAGATTTTTCCCTGTAGAAGAAAAACTTTTTTTTTTACTTTACTCTGGGGTTTTATACATAAAAACAGTACATATATATTGGAGAAAATTTAGAATATGACCAATGGTATAAAGAAAAAAAGTTCAAATCACCTGTTACCCTATTAGCTAGGGAGATACCACTTTTTAATATGTTTATTTCAGCACAGTCTTCATTTTATAATATATATACACACATTATTTTATATATATATTTAATCATATAAATATAATTTTAAAATTAAAAAATATAATATGTAAAATTTAAATTGTGGAATGTATTGTTTTATACCAGTTTTTCCACTTAACAACATAAGCTTAAGTGGATCATTAAATGGTCTTCCATGACATTATTCTTAATTGTTGCAAAATGCATTTTTGTACTGAGGTAACATACATTAACTAAACCTCTAATGATGGAAATAATACTGATTCTGATTTTTCATTATTATAAATAAACTGCCATGAAAATCCTTGTAGTTAATTATTTGGAACCATTCTTCCTTATTTCCTTGGGATGAATTCCTAACAGGAGATTGCTAAATTTAGACCTATCTAAATCTTTAACACTTTTAAAAGAAGAGTACCTTTAAAAGATTTTAACAATTTACATGTGTACTGTTCAAGACACATGAATTTCTCAATCATTAAATTTTAGAAATTGTTGCAGGTAAAAAGGTACACAGACAAATCAGGCACAAGAGTGACAGCCCATTTATTCCCATTATCAAATCCAGGGGCAGAGGAACTGGGATTGATGTATCTGCCCTAATAAACACCAAACCTGCAGAATGATTCCTGGGTGTTGTTCCTGCCATTAGGAAGACAAGCAGCCCTTGAGGAGACTCAGTTTTCCTTTCCCTGAGTCTAGCCAAGCACCTCAATTAAATTGAGAGATGATCTTGGATCCATGTTCCAGCTGGCTCCTGAGCAAGCCAAAGGAATTAAGAAAGAGAAAAGCAAAATATCTCAGTCCTCCTAATGAATCCTTTTAGCTTGAAATTAATCGAGTACTCTCAAAATCAAGTTATTTTTTAAAGGTGCTGTGGACAAAAGGAAAAAAAGCACCAAATGCCATTGTCACGATTTTTCCACCTTTGATCCTGAGTCCAGATGCCTTTGTGATACAAGTCACTCTCCGCCAGAAAGGCACATGACGTCAGACCTCAGGGTTGCTTTGGTACCACTTTTTAACTGTTCCTGGCCTCCACCCTTTAGTTACTTTCAATGAGAACTCCAAGTGGGTAACGTGGGTCTTAACAGAACATCGCAAATAACAGGACAGCAGCCCCTCCATGACAAGGACTTAAGGACTTATCCTACATATGTTCTTTTCTTCCCATTGCTTACAGGGATGGGAACAGGACCCTGCACCTTGCTACCTGGTCCATGAGGCTCACTTCTTAACGATTCACTTACTCCTGAGAGCAACTCATGAACAAAGGAGTCTCCTCTTTTAGAATCAGGTGCTATGTCTCTGTGGGTCCGATATGGCCCACTTAATATAGCACTTGCAGATAGCGCTTCCTGTCCTGCTTCGGGTTACTTAAAACAACATTTTTGTTTTTATTTTTCTTTTATTTTCTTAAAACAATATATGCATAAACAAGTTTGAAAGGTGTTCTTAACTCATTTCTCAAGGTAACATACAAAGACTTAATACACTCCCTATCAAATAGCACAAGCTTCCCTAACATCAGTATTAAAAAAATACCTACACTTCTTACACATTCTCTGATTATACTAATACAAAATCTGTATTTTCAGAAGTTAGAAGATGCATCAAAACAGGAAATGAAAACAAAGAGCATACCTGATAAAAATTAGGCCAGAATGTACTAATGGCCAGTTCTGCCCTGTTCCACGTGCGGGTAGGGTCTCCAGATATGTTCCAGATAGGATTCCCCAAAGGCCCATTATTGACCTTCACATAGACATTGAGTAACCCAGGAGCAGTGTTACTCTTGCTGGATACAAAATAGTGAAAATCAATGCAATGGGTGTCGTTTTCTTTCAGGTGAGGTAAGAGGAGGTGGGCTCTCTGCCCCTCAGGTCTCCCAGATGTGTTCACCAGCATGAAAGAGCCTGTGGAAAGAAAATCAAAGGAGAGTTACAACCAGAAATACTACTTTCTGGTCATCTCTCAAAGCCACCATCATTTACATGGTGGGTTGACATTGCAATGTCACGTATCTTACTTAGGCTTTGAGAGCCCCATCTCTTTCACCGCTTTTCACCTCAAAGAATTCTCAAGATCAGTGAATGGAAAGTTCCCTTGAAGTTACTGCGTTTAGTCTCCTAAGTAACAAAAATATGCATAATTTACTATCTTGCACTGATCATCTTGTAGTCACTAGCCACATGTGGCTATTTACATTAAAATTAAGTAAAAACCTGTAATATTAAAAGCTTAGGTCCTCAGCCACACTAGCCACATTTCAAGTGCTGAATGGGCTCGTGTGGCTGATTGCTACCACACTGGGAAGCACAGATACTGAACCTTTCCATCATCTCAGAAAGTGCTATGGGACAACACTATTCTCTAACAGCTCCACCATTTGGCAATTGCTGCCCCTTTAATATTCTCGTGTAACCTAGAGAGAGAGAACACATTGGCCTGATTTGTGGAATCTTAGAAGACTTTACTGGCCCTATGATGTTCCTTGTTGCTAATGTAATATAACTTTCTTGCAGTTCATTGCCACCACCCCTCCCCCATTGCCACAACAAATGACTTCTTGATAGTGGAGGTGTTTTCATGGCCAGTATGACTGAGCCTACTGATGCAATCATTGTGCCAATCAGAGGATGGTCATACTCAGAAATCTCTATGAGCAATGTGTATCTTTACATCCATAGCACCAGCCCACCCATGACTGCTGAAGAGTTTCCACGTGGATCCAAGCTTTCCAGATACCTTGGCATCAGCTGTGTCACTCGGGCCCTCCCCATGTCTAAGATCAACAGAAATGGCAATTAAAATAATTGTATGAATTTTATATATCATATATTTGCTTTCATCTTTCTTTATGTAAATATAAAGTCTTTATGTAAATATAAAGAAAGATAAAAGCAAAATGTTTGAGATAAAACAGAAAACAGAATATCATAAAGCCTTTTTGGCAGACAGGAAAAAATGTATTGAAACTCTGAGGGGAAAGAACACCTAAATTTGGAACATAAAGATGAAAAAAGAAATACTATTCACATATGGCTGGATTCGTGCTTTCTACTGGGAGGAGGAGACTATTCCTGTTAAGTATTCTTTTTAAAATTTCCCATATTGTGAACCATAATTTTCAAGGACGTGTGTATGTGTGTATGTATGTTTGTGTGTGTTTGTATTTTAGTACACACTCAACAGATACCAAAAACATACATACACTACTAGAACAAGTGTAGATTTTTTTTCTTGTCTATAAGCTGTGATTTCCTAAGCAGCAAAAGAAGACTGCCTTTCCCAAAGAATTATTATGAGAACAAAATAAAAAACCCAAATGTAGGCGCATCTTTTATAAATTAATAGGCTACTGTTAAGGGATATCAGACAATGTTTACCCTCAGCTGTTACCCCTACAGTGCCCCTGTGTAAGGGGAGCTGAGGGTAATGGCATTCAAGACAAACAGGAATTGAGTCACAGAGAGATCAGGAAGCTGTTTATCCAGGTTTTAGGATGAGTTCGTGGTCAAACCAAAACTTCGAGCCTCTGAGCTTCCAGCCCACTACTCACCCTGTTACACTCCAATAACACCATGTTTCTTCATGTGCCGTTTGAGCGTATATGAAGAAAACAAAACCCCTTCACGACAGTGAAGGAAAATTACAGTTGCTCTTTGAAAATAGAGCAATTTTTCAAAAGATGAATGTTATGCACCTGGAAATATGAAAGCCAAGCCACAAGGGAAGGGTTATCTATGGAACATATATTCCAGTAATAAGGAAGAACTACAAATGTGACTTAAGAATGAGTTGGGGGGCACAGAGAGGAGACAGGTGGCAACAGAACATCACTGAAATGATTCGGGTTAACTAGAGTCTATAAAATGTAAAAAAAAAAAAAAATCTTCAAAATATGCAGGGTAGACCAACCCCATCACAAATCTAAAGCTGGCTGTTGGTGTTTATAACACGACTTAAAAATCGTACTTTTCTGAGTAAATATAAGCTGATATATTCTGTATTTGATCATGTGGGGCTCTGTTACCTGCAACATAGTTACAATGTATGTTCCTACTGACAGGGCCGACCATGACATGGCCTTGAGGTCAACACTGAATCACCAAAACCTTTAGTACAAGAAAAGTATTTCTTGTAGTGTTTCCATCAGCGAAACTCAGGCAGCCATGGATGGTAAACAGGACAATACGCAAAGGATGGCAAAAGCATGTATTTCCTGTATCCTGCGACATCGAGTTTGGATGCCTGGATGAAGCTGAAACAGACAAGTCTCTTTTCACATGTTGGTATAAACTGGAAAGCTTCCTACCATTACTGTTCAGGGAATCACCAGGAATCCCTAAAATACTATTCCCCTAGCTGTGCAACCAGTCCTTCATATTACACCATTCCAGCACAAAATGCTCTCTCAGCTGTTTGAGCTGTCTAATGTATACAGAAATTTTTAACTTGAGGTCAAGGTGAAATTCAGGTATTGTAAGTTACAAATACACAAATGATCGTAATTTTTATACTCCTTTCTCCTTTTAAACCTTTTTGAGCCAGAAAATACAGTCTGTTTTGTTACCTGGGTATGCTTCTGTAATGCAGATTAGCTCAAATGGATTAGCAAATAGGGGCATGACATCCATCCCACAGAGAAGTCCCTTGGGTTCATGTGTGACTTTCGGCAGGACATTAAAGTTTTTGACTGATCTCAATAAAGGGCTACATGATGACCTTTGAACAAAGCTCCAGTCCCACACAAGTGCCTTCACTCAGGGGAGGAAGTGGCAAGAAGTTTAGTGGTTTCTGTAAAGCTGTCTGGGAAACTGCAAGAACAGAGAAAGAAACCGTGGAGCTTCGGCTCCCCTCCTGAGTTGAAAAGGAAAGAACATTGACTGATGAAGAAGACAAACCCTGGATCCTATTTTTAGATTGGCAGAAAGTGCTCTATTAGAAGGGACTGACTGCAGTAGAAAGAGGAAGCCAGAGCCTCAGGGTACAGGGCGAAGAATGGAGTCACTGGGATTCTGAAGGCCAGATGGAAGTTGATGGGACCGGTCTTTTTAGAAGGACTGTTACTGTTTTTGTTGGTTCTCCAGCTAGAGAGCTATTGCATAGATTTTGAGTGGCCAGCCCCAGCCCCATTTTTCTCACAAAATCTATCACTTGCGATTCTGCGAAATGAGTCAGAGATCTTCCAAGAACACAGGTGTGGTATTGGAGGACGCGCCAGCTCTATTCACACCATCTTCTTCACCTGTTCTGGCTTCAGGAAGCAATTCTGCTCGGACTGGTCACAAGCAAAGTTCTTCTTCCTTTCAACAGTTAGAGAAGCCACCTGAGCAGCACTATGGTCAACACACACATGTTTTTGGAAGAAAAGTCTCCCTTTACCAAGACCCTTCCCTGGGGTATGGTCACCTGAGAGTTCCTTTTTTTTTCTCCTCCAGAGTCTCTCAATTGGTATTTTTATGTAGCCCCCATAATTAATGATTAATGTATAAAGGCACTTAGGACAATGCTTGCCAAATAGCACAAGCTCAAAAATTGTGGGTGATCAGCATTACTATTACTCTGTATTCCTCATACTTGATCCAAATGCATGGCTTCTCTAAATTATCTTCAATTCTTTAGCAGATATATTTCCACCTGCCCACTTCACAACCTTCTTGGTCCTATCCTATTTCATCTAAGTGGTAATTTTTAAGTTTCCTCTCTTTATGAGAGAGGAACTTTAGTATTGAAGGGTTACAAAACCTTCAACACAGTTGATCTTGCCTCTACATTTAAGCTCTGGGAGGATGATCTTTATTTCTATGTGTGGTCATGAGGACTTATCCTCATGGCTTCGAATTAGAGAAGATGACATTTCAGCCAATGCAAGTATTTCCTGACAGTGCTACATTATTGTCTTAGTGAGTTTACATGAGAAAGTGTGAACACTTATGTTTAGCACAGTCTGGCAAACCCAGAATCCTGGGGGTAAACGCACAGCTGTGCATACAGAAATGGCAGGTGGGAGGGAAGAGATGCCTTTTAATTGAATTTATCACCTATAGGCTATGAAAGGAAAGTCAACTCGCCAATGTTTAAAGGATCCAAGGCATTTATATTCAATTTTAGACTATTAAGTCTGTTTTTAAAAATATCCCTATATGGCTGAATGTTTAATTTTCACCTCCTGCTTCAATGTTTTGACTGTGAGGAAATGCATTTTCAAAGACTAATTGGGTCTCCCTCAGTAGGTACTTCCTTACATCAAATTTTTTTTTCCCAACAAAAAACACTCCAACTGGGCAAATAAATAAAAGAAATCAGAATTCAAATTAGCATAGAAATTCTGTTTGTGTTCGAATAACAAAACACCCTTAAGTCACAAGTGAGGAAGTAGAGACTATAACATTTCAGGCAAATGAAAAGAACTCCACCTAACAGAGCTGGCTTCAAAAGGGGCAGTTTTTAAAGCACGCTTTGAAGGTCTTTAAGAATAATTATTTTGGTTCTCTGAAAAGGAAAACTCCGTTATGAGAACATGCGATATTCGCATTCTTGAATTTTCAGGTGAATTAAATTTAACTTAATCATATCCACTGGCAAATGCTTTTGATTGGACTATCTTCCATCATTGTTTGTGACAGTGGCAACAGCTAGATAGAATTAGTTATTCCCTTCTACCCCATCATTAAAATTTGCATCCGTGTGGTAGAGGCTCTAGATTTTTAAAAGCTAAGTAAATTGCGTGAATTCTCTTCGTACTTTTCAGAAACTTTGTGTGCCCAACAAAAAAGGGAGCGTTTTCCATCATCCAGCAGGAAGAGAGAATTATGTGCATTATTAAATACTTTGGCTGGTGGAGAAGCAGCATTTTATGAACTTGAAAGGGAGCAGATCTTCCACCCCAAGTGTGTCTCTTTGGCATGGG